ATAACATTTTCATATAGTACATAAGAAAGCCATTTGGTCAATGGTGCTCGCCTCTGCACCCAGAGCTATCACCTCTAATCCCATTCCCCTCCTCTTTTGCCATATGTTTAATATTAATTTTCTTCAAGTATTTATCCAGTGCTGTCTGATCTGAAGGTGACACTTTTAAATAATCCAGGTTCACAGTAATAGTCATTCATTTGAGTAGATAATGTAGCTTCTGATTCTTCTGTTGTATTCTGATTCACACCATGGATGGAAACATTCAAATGTGACTACTTATCTTTTGCAAGTAACTTTCTTTGTACTAATCAAATGAATGAACTCTTCCTCATGGGAAACCTACTATCCTAGCTGGAGAGTTAGTCAGATCTTCTTAGTCACCTTCTTCAATGAGCTGCTTCGTGATGACTTGGATATTGAAAGAACTATTATCTTTGTTCAGTGTGGAAACAGTTATAATAATAAATAATAATCCTTGCATTTATATAGATCTTATCACGTCTTCGAGACGTCTCAAAGCACTTCACAGAATATACTGTAAAGTGAATTGGCTGTATATTTTGTGAGTGAAACGGCGCAGCCAATTGCGCACAGCAGTGTCCCACAAACAGTCGCGGATTGAGCGACCAAATTATTATTTTTTTATTGAAAGGATTATTATCCCCAGAAAAGTGATCCGCCAATCGACTAATAACTGTCTTGCTATTTACTGCTAAGTGAACAGAGGAGATTTCAAGATCCTCACACTGGTGTTCAAATCCCTTCACTCTGGCACCTCCCTAACTCTCAGACCTCCTCACTCCCCAATCCACCACCCGGCACCTCCGCTAGACTAGCACTGACCTCCGGCTCATCCCTTGCACCCTCCGCCCCACCATCGGAGGTTGCGCTTTCAGCCTCTTCCCCGAAACTCTGAAACACTCCCTCAACCCGTGCGCCTTGCCTCCTCTCCCATTTTTCAAGTCCCGCCTGAAAACCTTCCTCTTCGACCATGCCCCCCACCCCCCGACCTGAAGTCAGGCTCCATTGCCTGTTAAGCGCTCTGAGACACTACCCTGCGTGGAAGCCACTATATAAGTGCAAGTTGTTGTGTGGAATAAGGAAACTTGCTCAACGTTTTGCCTTGCTCGAGATTCGAACCGAGGTTCTCTCGCTTGCGAGGCGAGTGCTCTAACCACAAAGCTACCGGACTCAATTGAATCGAATAAGGCACATAATATCAACTAGAAATAGTTTGTTCTTTGTGGACAGAACAATTTCTTAAGCCTATTTTATACAAAGTTATGTTTATCTTTGGCCATCCCCAAATGTTGACTTGATACAAATATTAGCACAAGGGCATACTGTAGCGATCAATTTTCACCTTGTTGATGCTTGAATAGAAGAACATCTGTAGATTTCCTATTTTATGAGAGAACCATGGAAACATAATCTAATTAGAAATTTGCACATTTGTATTTGATATTGTACAAATATACATACCAAATTTTCATCTGATCTAGTAGAAGGATAGCAATTTTGTTTGTGGCAAAGGTCCTTGGACTAGGTCAGAGACCACTTTTTGGATCAATCTTGAAAAATTGACTTGGATCAACCTTGAAAAATCTGTTGGATTGTCACTTCAAACAATCTTTATAGTATTGCCAAACCTTGCCTTCTTTCATCAAGAAAGGAATTTATAATTTACTACATGTGTTCAGTGCAATTTTCTCATCCGTATTAGAATGTTCACCCTCAACACCATCTTTGGGTACCAGTTAATTTTAATCCTGAAATATATGGGTGGTAAAAAAGGAAATAGCATTCCATGTTTTGTTTGATAGTAAATGTCATAACTTTAGTAGCAACATAAGTGAAACAATAAGAGAATGTAATGAAATATTTGTTATTTCTTTCTTCAGGTGGGAGGGGATTGTCTGATAGAGTATTGCTATCAATACTGCTATGCAGCAGGATGATTGCTGCTGTGGCCAGCAATGGTCCTGATTTTCCCTCAGAAACTCAGTCAAGAGCTAACTAAACTCTGAGCTAATTTTAAATGGTAATCCAGACAGGTATCCAGACTCAAGTATTCGGAACTGAAGTTGAGCATTTCCTAATCAGAAGTATCAGGTCACAATGTTTTCTTTAAAATTCATTTGAAAATTACTTCTGCAGCTGCTATTTGATAGAACATATCTGGTTTTGTCATCTGTTCAACCTCTGCATACAAATAGGATATTGCCAACATCTCATGAGTGAAAATCATCAAGTGTTTCTATCTCTTTAAGATTTTAAGATAGTTGTATTGTGTGGTTGGATGACTTCACGTACTATACTCTAAATAAAGTGCTTTATTGGGGGAAATAATCTGATTTGTTTTTTGCTGATTGCTATATGGACATAAATTTGATTCAACATGAGCTAGTAGTGTCAGATGACTCCAGTCTGGTTACAGAGCACTTTGAGCAGTTATTGAGAGGTTATGGCTTACATTCTCTCTCACTATTGTCTACCAATGAATTGGCCCAGACAATTATTAGATTTGTTTTCCATTATTGAGATGTAATTTTTTCCCCAATTTTATGTGATTCAATAAAGCTCACTGCCCACCCTATGCCATTTTAGACATTTTATTGCCTGTTTTCATCATCTATAAATGTTTTTGGAGTCATGGTACAAAAACTGGGGTTTCACTTAGAAAATCTAGTTATTTTGTTTGTACCCATTGTTTAACATTCTTTTGGTTCTGAATCTTTGAGTTCCAGATATTTTAGTTCTGTTTTTCTTTAATTATTGGACATTTACTTTCCAAGATTGCACATGTTTTACTGCTCTAGGTGTTACTCACAGTGGGAATGTCTGAGTGGATCCTGGCCATACAGCTATGATAGCATTACCTTGTGTCAGTTTTACATCAGTGGTAACATTTTTACTCATTGGCAAGAGAGGAACTTTTTATATTTGTATGTTAAATACAAAGCTTTCCAGTTAAAGAAATCCCTCCCCCAAAATTCCTTATTTGGCCCTCGTTGTGTCCACATTTAATTATTCTATGGCCCTGCCCGGCAGACTCTACAGCTCCTCTACATAAGCTGCAGACAATCCAGAACTCTGCAGCCCTTGTCCTCTTCCACACCAAGGTCTGTAAACCCATTCAAGATCCTCGTCCTCATATTCAAATGTCTCCATGGTCTTGCCCCATCCTACTTTTGTGAACTCCTATAAAGCTAACAACCCGTTTGAGCTCTCTGCTCAGCAGACTGTCCCGCCCCTAATCCACCCCACTGGGTTAGGTTGCAGCCATTTTGCCGCCGATCTCTGGAACTTTCTCCCCTAGTGCCTCCAACTTGCCCACCTCTCACCACACCTTTAAAGCCCACCTCAACTTATCTTTTTAATCATGCTATCGGCCATCTTTCTCACCTTTTCCCCTCCCCACCACCACCTGGGTAAAGTGCTCCTGAGTAACGAGACGCTCTCCTGACACAAAACATAATATAAATTTCTGTTTTATGTTTCCTGTTTATGATTTTGTAGTTTTAAAGAACTTAGAGTTGATGACTAGTAGGCTCATTTTAGTTGTGACTTTTCTCCAGTAAAAATAACTTCAAATTGTATTGGTAGCAAGATTTGTTTACTGTATTTTGTAGTGTTGGAATTATTCTGTACAAATTAATTTTTTTTGCTGTTAAAAGGTTTAAATCACACATTATCTTTCAGACTTGAGACTAAATTTTTACAATTATGTCTATCACAGTGGCAGCCAGCGTTCAGATAAAACCAAGAGTGATGTGAGCATTGGTGAAGAAATTGAAGAGGACATCTCCATCGAAGGAGAAGATTTTGCTATCAGTGATAAGGTTTGTAATAGTTCCTAGTGAAAATGATTTTCCTCAGTTCCTTGTTCTTAAGTTAAAATAATGAGGTCAAATGCATTTCACATATAGCCTTTCAGCAGCACTGAAAACACATCAGTTTGAGTTTCCCTGTTTTTAGAAATGTAATGATGAAATATAGAATTTTGTAATGTTTTTTTCTCTGGTGCCTTTCCCTGTTTTTTTCGCTTTCCCTTTAAACCTTATACATTACTAGTACAGCCCAGCATTGCTATCGCTGCTTAATTAGTCTAAGCAGACCTGACCAAGCCTGGTGAAATATACTGACAGTATCTGCAGAAACAGTTTAAAATCTTCCAACTTTTAGTATTCACAAAAAATTAAATATATGCAAGAAAATTAAGTGTATGTTATATTTATGTATCTTTACATGGTCAATATGTACACATGGAGTCCTGTAACTTAGTGGTCACAGCACTTGCCTCGCAAGCGAGAGAACCTGGGTTCGATTCCCGGCAGGTCAAAAACATTGGGCAAGTTTCCTTACTCTGCTTACCCAGCAGTAAGTAGAACCCAGTAAATCAATTGGCGGATCGATTTCTGGGGATAATAATCCCTTCAATTTATTTTTAAATTGAATAGATTTCCCTGGATGTTGGTTGCACTCTGGCCTTTAAAATACAGTTTAAATAGTTCTGAAATAGTTATCTGCAGCAGAGTCCATAAGTTTGAGAACTGTGTGGTTATCCGAGTTTTGTTTTTTGACATCTACACACTAGCACAGCATTTAACCTTAAGGTACTAAGGTTCAATGTGTTTCATGTAGATGGTCTGAGCAAATGCTTGAGGTATTTGACAAGCAAATGCAATATTGCCAGAGAAAGTTCTTCCACCAAGTGAGTTTTAACGTCCATTCGTCAGGCTCTAATTGTTTCAAGAATATATGAATAAAAGAGCAGCACCCAGAGTTTATAATGCCTTGTCACTTCTTAGATATTTGCAAATGTTAAGAATGCTCATTACTGATGTAATTTTTTTAACCGATTTTAAGATTTCAGTGTTCGCTCCCATATATTTTTTGTTGATTAAGTCTACCATTATTTTCCTCTTCTTTTCTCATCTCCTTAAAATGCTCATTCTTGCTGGGGTGAGGTTACATTACTGCCAATAGCCCAGGAGGCTCTTAATGTGAATCCTAGCTGATTTTTCTCATCTTTAAGCTAGTGGCATTGATGGAAAATGTACTGCCCCAATTGCCCTGGTTCAGATATGCTGGGTCAATCAAGCTGAGAATTGAACTTTCAACCTTCTGATTTGTATGTTGTTGTAGTGCACCTTTCCATGCTATGTTACCAGGACAGCATTTTGAAAATATTTTGTGTACATAAAGTATTTAAACTACGCCAACTCCCTGCTTCTCGGCCTTCCCAACTCTTCCCTACACAAGCTGCAGATAATAGATCATCCAGAGCTCTGCAGCTCGTGTCCTATCCGGCATCAAGCTCCATGATCCTATCACCCCCACCCTCGCCCGGCTCCACTGGCTCCCCATCCCCCAAATAGAGTTTGCCTTCAAAGCCCTACGTGGCCTTGCTCCCTCCTACCTCTGTGACCTGCTAACCCCATATCAACCTGTCCACTCCCTCCACTCAGCAGGCTCTGGCTTGATCCACATCCCCCGTCCGGCTCGACCCACCTTCGGCGGACGGGCCTTCAGCCTCTCTGTCCCCACCCTTTGGAACTCCATTCCACAGTCCCTTCACCTCGCTCCCTCTCTTGCCTCCTTCAAGGCATGTCTCAAGATCCACCTCTTCAAGAAAACCTTCGGCCACCCTTTTAACTCTGCCCTCACTGCCCTCCACCCCTCAGGATCCCAACCCTCCCCAGTTCGGATCCAAATTCCTGACAGTCCAGCACCTTGGATGTCTCCCAAAGTGAAAAGTGCTTTACATATGTGATTTGTTTGTTAAAATAATCCAGAAAATATCAGAATGTCTGTTTGAGTCAAATAAGCATTAGTGCATACCTGTGTTATATTGATATGTTATGTGGAAATGATACAAAATATATTGGATGATTTAGAAGTCACAATAGCTTTTGCTTTTTTTTTTTTATTAATCTAGAAAATATTTATATGAATTTGTTTATTAAAATTAAATTAGTTTTTTTTAAATTTGCATAAAAGTTTTGTTCTAATGTATTTCATCCTCGTGGAAGCAGTAATTGAATTATACACATTCTTTTGTGCAATATTTCCTCACGCTTTTCTCTGATTTACTTTCTTGCAGCTTGACGATCTCACACAAGACCACACCATCTCACAGTTTAGCGATGTGGCCGATTATTTAGAGGAGGTTTCATAGAAGCTCTGGCCTTTGGATGAACTGCACTGTACAGATCAATGAGTAGTTTTTTACTGCTTCTGTTCAGCAAATACTTTTTAGTCATCGTCCTCAACAGCTTGTAGCTGAACTATTGCAAGCTGCCTGTGCCTTGTTACATTTCAAAGCCTTGATTGCAGTTTAATCCTAAAAGCTGGGAAACCATAGTTTCAGGTTAAAACAATGCAAACTAAATTGGACTAGAAATTGGAGAATCTATCAAGTGGAATACAATACAGTGTGTTGTGAACATTTGGTGTTAAATTATTCCAACTTTAAGCTACATTGCACATGTAACAGAAAACCTGGTAACAATCAAAGTGTACTGAATTGTGTTAGTGTAAGGCGCACTATTTCACAGATCATCTTTCAGTGTGTGATAAATAAAGAAGAAATGCCTCACATTCACTTTACAATGGACAATTCAGTCCTACATGGTAATGAATCTAATGTGTAAATAATATTTTGATTAAAAGCTGTTTTTAATGCAGACTTATTTACTGAATGGTGCTTATTGTACTGCATACACTTGATCTTCGTACATTTTGAGGAGTTGATTGAAGTCTTCCAAAAAATAGATTTTAAAAATATAACCAAATGACATACAATATTGGTCTGGTTTTTGTTGCATTTATTATTTATTATGAGAACAATACTATTTGTAAGATTCTGGAAACTATGCAAAGATATTGAATAAAGCTACGATTCAATGCAACCTTTTGGGTATACTAGAAATTAATGTTATAGAAATAAGGGCCTGGAACTTATAGCACCCTTATTTATATTGTTTGCTTATTTATTTACTTCCTAAGACATCCTCTCAATGTGAAAGGCACCATGCAAAAGTTAATTGTTGCAAAATGATTCACCAGTTTATGTATATAGTTAAGATAATTATACAGTCAGAATGGGTGCTAATACATAAATTGGAGATGAATACAGAATGAGCATGGATGCTAGAAGGGAAGAAGAGATTGGGGATATAACAAGAAAAGCTGGCAGAGGGTTTGTGGAAAAGAACTGATGAGAGCAGGAGAATGGTCAGGGGTATGGAGATGAGCAAAATATGAACCGAAGATGGAAGTGTGTTCAGAACCCAAGCCAGCTAGAGGTGCTTTTCCATTCTCTCAAGAAGCAATGTTTGTGTTTGCTTTCTACTAGATACTAAAAAAATTACAGCAAATCATTTAACACTTATTAGCTGAGAAGAGCCTATTCTGGCCAAACTTGAGTTAACAATAGCTTAAGCTTTTAAATATGACATTAATCTTTCAAGGCTGGATGTCCAGATCAAACTTCTTGCCTCAGTATTTCTACACTGAATGGTAAAGAACAGGATAGTGGCTAGAATTTACTCCATCTTCAGAAAATCCTGTGTACTCAACGCATAGAAATACAAGTCACAGTCAAATTCTCTTCAGAAATCCATAGTACCGGGACAGTTGAGGTATAAGTACCTGATGCCTCTGATAGGTTTCATAATTACAGTTTCCTGTAAACAAAAACAACACAGTTCAGTATTCCAAGTATTCTAATTTATTTTGCAAATCGCAACCTAGACTTGTTTAAACTCACAGCATGGGCTGAGCACATACACCAGCAGTGATACTGAGATTCATCTCTTCAATCTGAGTGAAAAAAAATCAGTTGAGAAACAGTGGCCATGACTGACCTCTCCTTAATTTAGATGTAAAGTAGCTTTGTATTAGTACATGAAAAGAACGTCAAGCACATTTCCACAATCTTACAAAACGGTCATAAAAAGTTTAGTCTTAATAATGTACATCTGCTGATAGTCACATGATAAATATTATTGGGTCACCTACACGATCCTTTACTTCAGTTAGTCCCTTTACTCTGGTAAATACAGATAAAACGACTGAAAATTATGCCATTGTTTTAACTAAATGTAACATCTCTGAATTAAAGTCAGCAATGTTACGCTTACCTAGAGTACAGGGTGTTCACAAAGTCCTGTTACCCTCATTTTTTGTTTCTGCAGTGCACAGACCAACAACTTAAAAGGTGGGAGAATGATTTTATTTAGAAGTATTTAATTGTATTCTGTAAAAGTGTTTACTGTATTTAGACGTCCATCATTTTCATGGCAAATAATGATCCGTCGGCATCTTCGGTGCAACCTCTTCTGTAACGTGGATGGAGTGACAGAAGCTACTGGTATGAGATATTGTTACACTCTACTCATCTGCCACAGAAAATAATTAATTGTAAGAAAAACACAAGAGGTAACAGGACTTTGTGAACACCCTGCAGAATAAAACTTGTTGCTCATCCCTTAGTAACATAACTTATCCCAAATCTTAAAAGGGCACATTTACTGCCCCAGTGACAGTTTCTCCAACTACTAAGTGAGATGCCAATTTAGTGCCACTTTGTGCAGAACTACCGCCCACGCCACCCCACTACTGCCGCCATTTCAATTCCAAACTTCTTCACCCCAAACTTCCACCAGTGCAGGATCCCACATTCAACACCATCGCCAAATCCTCACTTCAAATGACTTTCATTAAATTGTTACCTAAACTTAATGCAAGCAGCGGTATTGGAGAGAGTGGTATTGGAGAGAAAGGTAACAGATTGGTTTGAATGCAAGTGAAGAACAGACAAGTTGAATATACACTGGCAACTATCAAATTCAAAAGACTTCTGAAGGATTTGATCGTGAAGACTTCTAAATAAATGTCATTTTTATAAACCTGAATGGTACAAACTGGAACTCGTGTAGTTAACTGCAACCGTTGGTCCTGATCTGCAGGTCACGTATATAGAATCCTAGAAATGTCAGCACAGGAGGCCGCTCAGGGTAGATTTGCTTCATTTGGTGGTGCTCTCACCTCTGTGTCACAAGGATACATTAAGACTTGAGCTCATAATTTAGGCTGACATTCCAGTGTGAGAAACTGGCCCTGTCTATTGTTTCAGGAGGATGCTGACGATCTCATGGTTTATTTTGAAGAAGAATTGGGAGCAATCCCAAATTCTAGATTAATGTTTCCCCCTCAACCAAATACCACCAAAAGCTGATCAAATTTTTATTGCTGTTTGTAGGACATTGCTGGTGGTAGATTAGTTGCCACGTTTGCCTTCCTAATCATAGATGCACTTAAAAGTATTTAATTGTGGGAAGCCCTTTGAGATATTTTGATGTGATAAGGCAATATTGTGCTTGTGTATGGTACTATTTGCTATAATCTAACTTCTGTGCCGTCTCTGTAATATATATAGGAACATAGGAACAGGAGTAGGTCATTCAGCCCCTCAAGCCTGATCCGCCATTCTGTAAGATCATGACTGATTCTGTACCTCAACTCTAACTACCTGCCCCCTTATCCTTGATACCTTCACCTAACAAATATCTATCCACCTCAGTCTTGAAAATTTGAATGGATCCAGCATCCACAGCCTTTTCAGGTAACAACAACAACTTGCTTTTATATAGTATCCTTCATATGGGGTAATGTCCTGGAAGGCTTATCCTTTTATATCTATATCCAAGTTTTTATCTAATTCTCTTAAATGTTGGCTGAAATAGGCACATTTAAGATGTGTTCCACATCTTCATAACCCTTTGTGTAAAATACCTCCACTTTATGTTTCCAGTAATGATCTTAATTTGTGCTCACTTTGTGACTGACAGATCATCTTGTGGAAATAATCTTTCCCCGTTTAGATTCCAAAATCATAATTGTAAACACTTCAATGAGGCCGCCTCTTAACAATACAGTCTCAGTTTTTGATCTTTTCATTATAACTCATTCCTCTTATCCATTTTATTATTAATATTTACTGAATCTACCCTCTCAATGATCCTTTATAATGAAGAGTCCCAAAATCCACACAACGCTCCAGCTGTGGCATACGATAAGAAAAATCGCATGTCACATGAATCCCTATTATTATTAACTCCCATTTATTGATCAAATGATATATAATTTGGTATATGGGATATAATCAATAATTTTTCTCCCTATCTCCCCACCCCCAAAAAAATCACAATAAGTTCACAATGTTATGTTTATTACTGTGTGAGAGAAAACGGGACCATTTTCTTTTAAAAGAACTTCTATTATGTCCCCTCTTATGCTTACCTTTTTTAAAAAAATCTGAAAAAGTTATTTTCCAACTCAGCCAATATGAGGGTTAAGAGGTCAGCAGTGTCAAACATTCCTGAAATTTACTCCTTTTTAAAGGTAAGAGATAGGAGCACCTGGTTTGTGTTAGAGCTGTCTCCTTGATCCAAATAAAACATGAAAGGAATGGTGTGTGTGCTGATTTGATTAATCTATCACTTAGATTTTAATGAACTGTCTGTCACATTGTAAGCCATGCAATTAGACATTTGTACTGATTTTTCCAAAACAGATAAGTATTGCTTAGACTAAGGTCAAGTTATCCAAGCTCAATAATAATGCATTAATTCTTTGAAAACTGAATAATTTGCAGATTTCAAGCTTCAAATACAGGATACCTGCAAAATCAAGGACAAATATAAGGAACATTTAATTGCAAAAATCTCCGAATAAATGTAAACCTCTAAGCCTGATTTTAGTTCGGCAACAAATATACTATTACAATATTAAACTACTTTTACTATTGTCATTCAGCATATACAGACATGGTCTTTCAAAACAATGTATCCAGCTCATTCTCTTTTCCATTTACCTTTTACCCATTTTTATTTGGTTATTTAGGTTATTGTACTTGTAGGTACTTATACAGTAAGAAGCCGATTAAAATATTTATGAAGAATTATTAGTCTTTATTTCCTGATATATGAGTGTAAAATGATACAGTACCGGGCATTAGTGCAGAGCTAGGTTGTTGAATGAACGATTGTAGAGCAATGATATTCAAAAAAATGGTATTATCTTTGGCTGTTAATTTAATGGATTTAATGGTACATAGATTATTATAAATACTTAATGTTAAGTTGCATCAAATGGAGTGTCACCATACATGTTACACAGCATTGAGTGAGGCATTTGTCAAGATTA